TCCGCCCACCTCCGCCACCTCCGCCATCCCACCACCTCCGCCACCGTCGCTGCCGCCGCTGCCGCCGCCGCCGCCGCTGCTGCTGCTGCTGCTGCTGCTGCTGCTGTGATGCGGTGGAGGAGAGCGCGAGCGAGGGTGCGCGAGACATGGAGTCAGGAGATGAAGCTTTCGGGGGTGGTTGCCATGGCAGCTACCCCGGCCGGGAACAGCAGACCCCAGTCTTGCCGTGGCGGTCGCCGAGTGCGCGACGGCTCCGTTTTCCTTTTCCCTCGCGTTCCCGCTGCTCTTTTTTGTCCGCTCCGCTTCGAGAACCGCGGAGCGACCTCCGGCACTGTGTGATACAGATTTCGGTACACGTCGCGTCGATTTCTTGGTGAACGTCCAACCCCCGGTGCCGCGGGGATCTGAGTGAGTTAACGGAGTTAGCGAACGCATACAACGTCGAACGCACGATTCAGATCGTCCGCCGCGACAGAAATGTAATGCTCTCGCAATCGTGAAAAACCCGATCGACGACGACAGCTCCTTCTTTTTCTCTCTTTCTTTCTCTCTTTCTCTCTCTTTCGAGTCTCTGCTCCCTCTCAATTTCTATTGCTTTCCGAAAATTTCTCTTCCGTAAACATTTTAGAAACGCTCCGGAACACTCGTATCCTGATCTCGTACACGCGGTGCTCGATCTTCGTACATGGATCCCGGATAGATCTTCCTCTTTTATTTTAATCTGTAAATACGCATCGACTATGATTATGGGGAAATCGAGATATTTTTATTCAATTTTAAAATTTCTAATTTTTATTTGTTTTTTGTTAAGAATACGATGTAACGAAAAATACCGCACTTATATATTAAGCGGAATATTTTTTATCATCTTTAGACCACGATTTTTACAGAGAAATGGAGAAATTTTTATGCAAAATTCTAAAATTTCTAATTCTCATTTTTCTAATTTTCTTTGTTAATTTTCTAAGTTTCTTTGTTATGAATAGTACGTGAAAAATATCGCGCTTATATATTAAGTAAAATATTTTTATCATCCTTATAATTATCATTCTTGTATCGTAGATTTGCAATTAACGTAAACAATATTTCGTTTTATTAAAATTATTCTATTATAATATAACAATTCTCGTAATTCTTATACATGCTATTTGTCATAATAAAACAATAGCACATATGTAATATTTATATTACATATAATGCATTACAATATAATGCGTAACACGATACATAAACAATTCATCATCGCGTCGCTTAGTTAGTTACGATCGCATTATTTTCATGTGATATCCCTCGGCTACTTAATAAAACCAAAATTACATCCAATACATCCAATTAAAATGTGAACTATATGTAAAGTCCATTATACAATTGAGAGAAGTGGTTAAAGCCCCGTGTAATATCTCGACGCGTGATAGTGTAACCAGATTTACACCGTAATGGTATGGTATGGTTGAAATGTAGTTGATACACAATTAATCAAAGGGTCGTTTCGCGTGGAATCGTCGTGTCTGAGGGAAACACAGTCCGAATCCGATATCGCGTACTACAATTCCCGCGGAGTGTCTCCGTAAGACGTCGACGTAATGCCGCGGTTCGTAGCAAACCAAATTTACATCGCAGCGCATAGTTAATGCACGGTTACCACGGTCGAGGTCTCGCGGTGGATCCAGCCCGTGTCTTAGCGCGGGTATTTGTCGAATGCGCGGTGACCTACTCTTATCTCCCATTTTCCTCCGTTGCGGCATGACAGTTCGGATGAAAGTTCACCTCCGCGATGCGCGAGATGAATTCAGATCTCGGCATCTCGGAAAGTAATCCACATGATATTTTTGATATTAATCTCGCGCACGATGGGACATTATTCCTCGCGAAATTAAATTCGCGAGATAGAGTCACGCCAATCGCATCACAATGATCGGATCGCTTTTCCCTCTCTCTCTCTC